TATCCTATTTATCTTGAGGATAAATACCATATTTGTCTCTCAATTAAATATGGACAAATATGACAAATGTCATATTTGAATCATATTTACACAACATTCATCTCGAATCAAATCTAATTTTTCGCCCAGTGGAACGAAAAACAGACTAAGAACTTTGTCTAGCTTGATAACCATTTCACTGATTATAAGCTATGGTCACCCAAATATGCATTGAAACCTATTGGACTTCAAGCCGTCAGTATTTAATAGAGACTGAAAATAGAAAAAAAATGTAATTTACTTCCCTTTGATTTTATTTGATTGTCTTTTGAAACATATCTTAATTTCAATTTGTTTTGACTTAATATTGGACCTCCTATTGTCTCACTTTTGGTTTTATTTTCATCAGAACACGGTGAGATTATAAACTGTTAGGTGTTTTTGACTAATAGCGTTGGGTAGACGTATAACAAGTATAGTTGATGCTAAACACTTCAAATTTACACTGGGAGAGGTTTGCATGAATCGTGTGACTGATTTTCTTCTTGTTGCAGTGAGTCACGCGAAAAGTTAAATCACGCGAATAATTGTTTAGAAGCAGCGTTTGCGCAGTAGTAATTCGCTGAACTTTCCTTCTTTTCTACTTTTCAGAGGAAAAGGTCCTGTTATTGACGCGCATTCAATTTGGTTCCATTCTAGTCGACTCACCAAAACCAGTGAGTATAAGTAAACATTCTAATTGCTTTGTTATTCATAACAGACTGGAATCATCAAGTTAATAAACTTTTTGAACGCAAAGAAAGAACCCGGGAGAATTTGTAACCGTAATGTCTACCGCAAACATGTAGTTATGGACTAATTTGAGTCAGTTGTAGTTAATATGACGCTGGTGTGATCGAAACGCAATTGGCAAGCTGTTTTAAAAACCCTACTCATCAGTGTTTACAAACATTACCGAAAGCTAAATCAATTTCTCCAATCACTGAGTAACCGTGATTTGCTGTTTTTCATCCCGCACGCCGCCCGTCAATATCAAATCTATCCCCCATTTCTTGGTTGAAATAAGCGCATGCTGCTCCCGCCAAGATATTTTAATCCTGTATCCCGCATTTAATATCGCACCTGTACACTTTCAGCTTATCTCACCTTCCGTCAAGCTTACTTTTTGACATTCGAAACTTTCATGCATGACATATTATGATAATCAGCCTTTCGAAAAGTTGAGAACCCCTCAAGCGATTTTCGTAGTTCACTTTGCAAAGCAAGTTCCACCGTGTCAAGTACTGCTCTAGCTAACTTTGCATCGTCTGGTTTTTATCTGCACGAGTTATATTAATATAGAGCTTGATTATGATAGCCAGGACATTCAGACCATCATTAAGTGACGGTTAATTGCAAGTTCAGTCCACCGTTTGCTAGTCAAGAACAAAGTTTTTGGCTCTGTCAGTTCTGATGTCTGTTACCACCCGAAAACAAGACTTTGAAATCGACCAAATCGTGCAAAGTACATTATAAAGTAAAAACTGAGGAAAAGTTAATTAACGGCCTTCCAAACTTTACAACAGAACGATGGCAAAAGTATTTTTCATTAGTTGTCTCATTTCTCTTCAGAGCAAGTCAATCTGTCTATGACAGGAACCGGCGAAGAATGTCTGAAAGTCCATTAATCACATAACATATAGTTTAGCTAGTAGTAGACTTAAATGGTTTTTAAGCGCGAAAAGCTTCAAAATGTCAAACAAAGATGCTAAGATTTATATTTGAAAGGTCCAGGTCGACTGTGAACAATCTTACGAACACAGTGCATAAGTTACATAACCGAAACGTTTCTGTTGGTTAATCTATAAGACAGAATTGAGTAATCACCCATTGTGTTTTATGCACGGTTTAACCAAAGAACGAACAACAACATACAACAAAGAACTTTGTCTAGCTTGGTTACCAATTCCCTGATTTAAAATTATTATCTGTGGTCAAAACCCCAGTATGCTTTTAACGCTATTGGACTTTACTGTCAATACATAACAAAGAATGGAGATAGAAAACTGCAACTTGCCTTCAAGTGATTTTATTTGATTGTTTTGCTCAATGTTTGACACTTATTTCAATTTTAATTTGTGTTGACTTCCTATTGGACCTCCTATTGTCTTGCAGGGACCCCCCCCCCCCCACC